GCGCCCGCCTGCCCGCCTCCTACCTGTGCCTCCCTCCCGGCGGAGCGCGCCCCTGGAACTTCAGCGCGGTCGCTGTCAAGTGCAGGGACGGAGATTTGCAGCCGAGAACTGCAGGGAGGCGCCGGGCCGCTGCTCCCAGCCCCAGCCACTCGCCGCGCCACGGACCCGGCGCTGGGCGAGCCTATTAAAGGCCCCCTTCTCTTTGGACGGCCCCGTCGGCGCCCCTCCCTCTCTCGCCTCCCAGCCTCCCAAAGCTTGCAGCCCCGAGCCTCCAGGGGCCACCGAAGAACTCGGTCCCGCCTCCGGAGCCGAGAGCGGGGAGGGAGTGGCTTTGAGCTGAGGCAGGAGGCGTGGGCTGGCCGAGAAACCGGCGCTGGAATCTCGGTTCGAGTTTTTTTGCCCTCTAGTTATGCCCTAGTGCCCGACACATGGGTTACTTCTGCCCCGACGGACCTCCGCCCACTCCCTGGGGTCTTAGCCTTGACCTCAAGGCAGTTGGGTTGAGGAGTTGAGAATGAAGGCCCACCACTGACCCCCCTCTCCCAGCCCCTCCTGTTGCAACATCCCTGTTGGTTCTTCATCACAGTGTCCCCCTAATAGACCCAGAACCGAGAATTATCCCTGTAAATGTCCTATTGCCAGAAAGGCAACTTCCCAGGAACACGGAGAGCCCTTCTGAAACCCAGGGCCGCCTCTGCCCACAGCCTGCCCAGGGGGCCTGGAGCGCTGGATGGGTTGGTGCAGATTGTTACATTTCCAGGAATTTTGCCAGCCAGCTGTTAAACACAGCCATTATTAAAAGCTAAATTACGTAAACTTACAGTTATAAATTATGTTTAGAAAGAAACCTCATCACTTCCTAACTGACCATTAGCCTCGGAACCAGCAACCCTCCAGGACAGCCCAGAGCTCCCAGGAGATCGCAGAGGGAGATAGGAAGGAAATGCTAAGTGGTGTGCGACTCTTCCTCTCCGCACTAGGGGCATCACAACCGGAGCTTGGAATAGATCCTGGAGGGAGTATTTACACCACAGAAATAGGCCAACGCTACCACTCCCGGCTTAGCCAAGGGAGGGGGGCCCTTGTTCAACACTGACCAGCTCACCAGTGCCTGGAGGGGATGTGGAGAATGTGGTTGTCTTCCTGCCAGGGAGGGGCTGAGGGACCAGTGTGCAGTAGAAAAATCAGGGGGTGCTTCACCCATGAGTTTATCTCATTTGAGCCTTGACCAAGTACCATGCAGGGCCCTGGCTTGAGAGACTGAGTGCGGGTGGGTGGAGACAGACCATCTAGTCATGAGTTCCCGTGTAGTTTGGAAGGGACCCCGAGGAGCCCTGTTTCAAGCTCTGGTCCTTGAGATCCTCCATGTCTCTCGGTAAAATCAACTGCATTCTTCTGGCAAGGAAGGAAGGCAAGCAGAGAAAGGAAGGCTTTCCTTGTTTCTCCTGATACCTAGACTATCTTCACAGAACCCGAAGGCTCTGAGTTGAGTTTAGAAGAAGAGAAGACAGAATTATGAAACATAACAAGGAGGCGGTGTGGAAGCATTTTGACATTTTCTTAGGGTAGTGGCAACTCACGTAAACAATTCCATAGTTGAAGGGAAGGGGAAGCTGGGACTGCTCCATCGGTGAGGAGCACTTTGTATCCATTATCTTCTCCCCGATAAAGGAGCCACTCTTCCAAGAGCCCCCTGGGGCCTCGGAACAGGAAGACTGCCTGGATGCCCATCGCTCTCCAGGGACCCCTCTTCCATTGAGATTCATGGGGCTGAAACCCATTATGGGCGTGAGTAAGACAGGGGTGTTTATGCTCTGTAAATGAAAGGGAAAGTGTGCATGTGGGAGGACTGTGTGTCAGAGAGAGGGAGTTCATGTTTACAAAGGCCCGTGTGTTTGAGTGTTTAAAGAGGGACTATAATTAAAGAGAAACTCAGACAACCACGGGCAATCATAAGCCACTTATATAGGGCAAGCAATTGTTTTCCTATACCCAGCAGTTATCATGGTGACTTACAAGGTTTCCAAAGACATTTTACTTTCACTGTGATCAGCGGGGTTTGGCCAGGGCTGCAGCATGTCAGTCAAGCTCCCTCTTCCCCAATCTCAGCGGAACGGGCTCACCTCTGGGCACAGAAACCCCGCGTGTGGACTTCCTCAAAGTCACTAGCATGCATTGAGCACTTACTCTGTACTAAGCACTGCACCAAGAGTTCTACGCACATTGTCTTACCTAATAGCAGAGGTTCCTAACCGGGAATTGGGGACTCTAGGTATCTGCTGAGTACACAGCACGCTGGAGTAGAAGTGAAAACTCAGCATCGGTACTCCATTTGCATCACTGATCTGATTCTCTGACTTGATTTCCTCGCCTGTCGAAAGAAGAGGGGTTATCCTAGGTCAGAGGTCTTCAGTCACAAGACTGCATTAGGAATCTCTGGTCTAGATAAAATCTAAGCTCACTTCCAGATCAAACATTACAGGACTGATCGAGGCCTGCGGAAGGCAATGTAGCGCAATGATTAAGAGCCCAGGCTTGGAGAACCCAGGTGTGCATCTGGGCTCCACCGGTCTCAGTTGTGCAATTGCAGATAAGTTGCTCTACTCCCCAAAGCCTCCACCTGTTCATTATTAAAATTAGGATAACAATACTGCTCATCTCTGTAGTTATCACGAGGACGAAATAAGTTAATACTTAAACAGTGCTCAGAAGTGCTTAATGCATTTTTTTCAAAAGTTACTTAAATGTTATCTAACAGTGCTGTTAATATTCTCATTTATTATTATTATTTTTTTACTACCACCAAGCCTTACTCGGCCCCCCAAGATGACTGCCATCATCAACTTCCAACAGTTTCTGGTATTTCTAACTGGGAAGGGAGGAAAGCTAATGGGAACTCTCAGCTTCCAAGGTTCCTTTAGCAGCCCTACGTCCATATTTGGACTCTATAATTGTCATCCTCTTGTTTCTCCCTGTCTTCCATGATTTTTGAAAATAAAAAGCAACTCCTTCCCCAAAACAAAGTTGGGGGCCTAGCTCATGCAGTGAAATCTAAATACCTCAGCTTGGCCTTTTAGGCCCTTGGACAACTCAGCTGACCTCTCCCTGCCCTTCAGGTCTCAGCCCAAGTGCCACCTCCTCAGAGAGGGCTTCCTGGGCCACCCAACTGAAGAAGCCTTAAATCATGATTGCTATTCCATGTCTTATTTTCTCTGTAACATTTACTTCTATTTAAACCTATTTCGTTCATTTGAATCTCTACTTTTTTATTGAATGTCTTCCCCTTCTCCCCCAACTGTGCATCCCCTGGGGCTTGGCACAGTACTTGACAAATAAGAGCCCTTCATTAATAAGGACTGACTAATAAATGGGCTCAATTCTACTCTTGGCTTGTAACTCACAGCCTGTGAAACTTTGGACAAGATACTTCATCTCTACAATGAGGATAAGGCCACATCTCCTAGGAAAGTTCGGAGTGCCTACCACACTGCTCCCATAATTATCAACTTCCTACACCTCTGCGACAGAAACCTCAGCCCAATACCCTTGTCACTTAGCCCAGCATTCTCATTTCAGAGCTGAGGCATCTGAGGGCCAGAAAGATAAAGTTACTCGTCCAAAGCAACCCAGCCAGCTGCTTTGCTCATCTTATGAACTCATTTCTCTTTACCCTTTACATGGAAACCTAGCTCTACCTAAATTAACTAGCTTGGCTTCTTCTGCTCTGAAGCTGTTATTTCAGGACGCATTGCTTTGCGTAAGCCATTTCTCTCTCCCACAGAGGGGCCCTCGCAGCCTCACCTCTGCCTGTGTGGGCAACTCCCCTCCTCTAGGAAGCAACTTAATGGAACTCACACAGATTTGAGGGCTTCATCTTCCTCTGTGTCTTCAGCATATGTGTAATCCATTTCTAGCACAGGAATATTTCATTTGAACTTACCTGCCCTTTGCTAATTAAATGTTAATCCCATTTGCCAAGACCAGGCTACAGCCACCCTAAACTGGAAACTCATCAATACCGAGGCTTCCTGACTTTTCTGGCAGTCCCCAGAGCAGGTGCAGGCTGGGTGGATGAGCCGGGGGGCGCAGGAGGTTCCAGGTGGATGCTCAGCCCAAAGG